CTGGATCAGCGGAGCCGAGAGGCCTCCGCCCCGGGATCAGCAGAGCCTGATGGAAGCCCTGTGTGTTTATGCACCCTGGGGGTGCAGAGGTCCTGTCCTAGGCAGAGGCCTATGGCGAAAATTTCGACTCTGAGAAGCAGCCTACAGGCTGGAAGGCGGCTCCTCTGACCTCAGTGCTGGAGAAGACCATTAAGCAGAAAACTAAAGAAACCGATTTTACATCATTTCCCAGGTGGAGAACAGTTGGCATGTAAGCCCCTGACCAGTGCCCAGCCTCTCCTCTGTCAGTCTATCTCACTCTTAGGTACCATGTTCTTTGTTCTGTCTTAACTGCAACTCATTTTTAAACTAGATTGCTTTTAAAAGAAGACTAAATAAAGTTTCCCTTAAGTTATTTAGGTGGTGCTGGGGCTGCTGGGGCTGCTGGGGGCCTGATAGAAGACACAAACATGCAATGGGGGGCCTGTACCCAGCAGCCCCAAGGCCCGCCACCTTGGTGCTGGGGCTGCTGTGGGTATCAGAGACACAAACCCGCAGGCCCGGCACCCAGCAGACCCAAGGCCTTCGTGGCAGAACTAAGGAGCAGCAAGCCAAGCGGTAGGAAGCAGCAAGCAAGTGGGCAGTAACAAGGGAGGGGTCCCGGACTGCAAGAGGGCACATGCTGGGCTAAGGGACCGCCCACCCATCCCCAGTGCACGAATTTCGTGCACCGGGCCTCTAGTAGTATAATAAAACAAAAGACATAGGACTTTAATTTGATCATAAAAGGTAAGCATTTAACTACTTGACAATTTCTATCTTTTGAGTATAATCCCCTTAACAGATTAATAAACCTTTTAACTACTCCCTAAACTATAGAAGTAAACCAAAGTCATTTGCATAGCATGCAAAGTCCTCCCTACTTACCACTCTAGCTTTAACTCCTGCAACCTTTGCTGCAGCCTAGAAAAACCATTTCCAGCCCACTAAGCTCTTTCCTTCCTCTTTGCTTTTGCACATCCCTTCTCCCTCTCTCCAATTCACCTAAGCTGGCAAACACCAACTCATCTTCCACAATACTCAGCTCAAGTATCACCTCCCCTATGAGGCCATCATTACCTATGACCCTCAAGTCAGGAGAACTAAGTCACTCCCTCCTTCATGCTTCACTATGCCCTGTGCCTTTTCTTATCAGAGCCCCTGTATTGCTGTACAGCACTCATTGATTCCAGAGTGTCTCCCTCACCACTTACTTAAGCAAGATATCTAGTAATGAAATGTTTGCTGAATGAATGACTACAATTTTATAAAAACACAAAATTTATAAAATTTCATATGGAAAAACTATACCATGCTTCAATGTCTAGCAGTGGTTCTCAACCTGTGGATCGTGAACAATGAAAATACATCCTGCATATCAGATATTTACATTACGATTCATAATAGTAGTAAAATTACAGTTATGAAGTAGCAACGAAAATAATTTTATGGTTGGGGGTCACCACAACATGAGGAACTGTATTAAAGGGTAGCGGCATTAGGGAGGTTGAGAACCACACTGGTGTGATAAGCAGATCAGGCAGCTCCCCAGCTCCCAAATACTCCCATCACTGGACTATACTCAGTACCTGAAATTTAGTACTAAAAATCAAAGACAATTCTCAGGGTTGGAAATGAAGGCAGGGACTATCTAAGACAGGGGCATGGAAAGCTTTCGAGGGCATGTAAATATTCCATATCTTCCTAGGGGTCTGGGTTACACAACAAACAGTAGACTTACAACTTGTACATCTTACTGTATGTAAATTTCACCTTAAAAAATCAAACAAATAGTGAACTCTAGTTAATGACATTAAAGCTGATTTTAGGAAGTGTGTAAATGTCTTCAACTTAATTTCAAAATGCATTTAATAATAAGGTGAAAAGAAGGATGATAGGTGAATCCATTTGATATAATATATCAATTAAAGCAAAATATTATTTATAGAACTTAGGTGGTAGGCTTATGGGTATTCACTGTCCAATTATTTCAACTTTACTGAATTTTTTTTCACAATAAAATGTTGGGGGGAAATCACAGGCAATGGAATCAAAGCTGAATAACAACAACAACAATTGCTACTGATTACTGAGCCCTAGTTTACAACCATTACATCACTTAAGCCTCAAACAATCCTATCAGATGTATTATTGTCCACTATTTTACATGAAGAAACTGATTCTTAGGTTAAATCACTTTATTCAAGGTTATCCAGCAAGTAAATGGTAGAACCTAGATTCAACACCAGATGTCTCTGGTCATAAAATATACATCTTACTCATGTCACACAGCTTAGGTTGTATCCCCTATAAAACTGCAAAGAGCCCCAAAGGCAAGGAAAACACATTACGTTTCCATCTTCTATTAACACCTTCACATGAATTTAGTGATCTGGTCCTTTCTCATTTCAGATAAAATCTACACTAATAAAAGAGAAACATGGTAATTGGCGTACGACCGCTACCCTTCCCATTGGCTAATCAGCATATCCTATGCAAATTAACTGTCAGCCAAGATGGCGGCCGGCAGCCAGGCAGCTGGAAGCGGAACAGGAGGCTTGCTTGCTCCAGTGACGGAGGAAGCCAAGGTTCCCAGGCCTGCTGCCGCCTGGCTCTGAGCTCCTGAAGCAACAGCTCCAAAAGATACAATGTTTCAATTATAGAAGCTAAAAATGGCGGTTAATTTGCATATACCAGTTGCGAGGGAAGACTGAGGACAACATGGAGGCCAAGAGGTACAGAAGGGAGCTAAGTAGAGGCCTCGAGGACAGAAACGGAGCCAAGGCTGCAGAGGTGGGAGGTGGGATGTGGGAGGTGGGAGGGCAAGCCCAGCCACAGCGGCTGCAAGGAGGGGCAGTGGCTCGGAGGGGAATGGACAGCGCCTGGGAGCGGGAGGGAAACCGGCCACAGCGCCCGGGAGCGGGAGGGAAACCGGCCACAGCGCCCATGAGCGGGAGGGGAAACCCGCCACAGCACCCGGGAGCTGAGGGGAAACCCGCCACAGCGCCCGGGAGCGGGAAGGGAAACCCGCCACAGTGCCCGGGAACTGAGGGGAAACCCGCCACAGCGCCCGGGAGCGGGAGGGAAACCGGCCACAGCGCCCGGGAGCGGGAGGGAAACCTGCCACAGCGCCCGGGAGCGGGAGGGGAAACCTGCCACAGCGCCCGGGAGCGGGAGGGGAAACCCGCCACAGAGCCTGGGAGCAGCAGGGGAAACCCGCCACAGCGCCTGGGAGCTGAGGGGAAACCCAGCAGGAGTGGCTGGGAGCAGGAGGGGAAACTGGCCACAGCCCTGTCACAGGGACAGGCGTCCTCTGGAGCCAGGCCACTCTGAGCCTGTAGGCCTGTGCATAGGCCCTGAGAGGCCGAAGTCCGGAATGTCTGGCCTAAGCTTGCAGGTGCCAAGCGGCCGGGGTTGGGGTGGGAACATCCCCAGGACCCAGGCACTCCAAGCTGGTGCACACCCAAGCGGCCAGGAAGGGGGCGGGAATGTCCCCTGCAGCAAGTGAGCAGACAGCAGGGCCCTGCTTGCCACTGGCCGTGGCAGCCAGGGGCAAGCAGTCCCTTGCAGGGCCCCCACAGAGAGCAGACACTAGGGCCCTGCTTGCCCCTGCGGTGGCGAGCCAGAGAGAAGACAGCAGGGCGCTGCTTGCCCCTGACCCCAGCAGCGAAGGACAGGCAAGCCCCTACAGCGAGCAGACACCAGGCCTACGGTGGCCTCAAGCAGGCAGGTCCGCAGAGAGCAGAGGACCATGGGGAGCAGGTATAAGCCGTCAGTAGGACATCCCCTGAGGGCTCCCAGATTGGAGAGGGTGCAGATCGGGCTGAGGGACCCCTCCTTCCCCGTGCACGAATTTCGTGCACCGGGCCCCTAGTATCTATATAATAGCCAAGTTCTGACAAAAAAAAAAAAAATAGATGAATCCAGAAAAGAAGCCTGGAAAAAAGGAACTCAGTTACCCCACTTTAGAGAGAGATTCTGGGCAGGAGGAGCAACCAGACCTGGTCTGGGCATATGCTCCCAGTCAGGAAAGGAGGACACTGAGAAAGGAGTAAGTGGCCACAAGCAAACACAGTCTCTCAGCACAGTTCTGCCTACAACCAGCTTCCAGTAACACTTGCCTGGAAAAAAGGGAAACTTGAGACAGAGAAAATGAATTACAGAAAAAATTAAATGCCTCTCCGCAAATGTATTCAGCACAACAATATTTCTATGCAATGTTAAATGATACTGTGTGAAATAAAAGGTTTTGGGAAATTTTAGGAAATGTATTAGCAAACGTGAAGCTTTCT